CACACATACATACAGCTGTTGGTAGCACATTCATTACTGACCTGTATGTTTTATTCCAAGAGACTTCCCTCTTATGTTCAGACTGCGAATTAGTGGCTTTAACCCACTGTACAGATTTGTATTTGAAATCCAAGTTTAAAAAATACCCCACCACATTAGGAAGGCAGATAGTTAAAAGGGCATTTCAGGGGTGGTATTTTTAATCAACAGCCTTATTAATAACATCCATAACTAATAAAATATATGTGGAAAAATGAAATCTACATGGCATCACCACTTTGAGTATAAGGAACGGGAAGGCAATCCTCTACACACACATAAAGCAGCCAAGGGAACGTGTAGCCACATTCAGTTTCCTGATGCAGCCATATTTTGACCAGCTAGACAATTATCTCATGTAACCAGGTAAATCTAATACATTCTTCTACAGTTTTATCTCTCATTTCTTTATAGTATAAGCAATGACACTCTTCAAGGTACTCTGTATCATACACTCAGTCATATCCATATTCTTAGCTACATAGAGTCTTACAGTAATTTAATTTGTGGTCCAATGTGAGTGAGCTAGACACGCAATATTTTACATCAAGTGCTATATAACTGGTTTAATTGTTTGAAGTTTCTGCTTTTGGTACAACTACAAAATGACTACAAACCATTTGACAGTACATACTGCAATTCAGAAACACAACCAGGAAACCCAAAGATAACGCATTAATAGCAAAGTCACTGCAGCTACACAAAGGTCACAAGCAGCCTGCAAACCAGAGCTCACACATAGCAAGCACACTACCATAAATATGCCAGATGCTGTTTGCAGCCACAAGCCAAAGTTACCACAGTAAACAATGTCTGAATTTGTCCTCTGTACACCACTTGCTCAGTACTGTTGCTCGTGAAAGAACAAATCACTGCCTTCAAGTAACTGCCTCCGGGTCCAGCATAGCTTTTGCAGCTCACTAGGCTTCCAGGAATGCCTGAGAGTACCTATGATTCACCAGCTGTGCCGCCCTCCTCACCACTCCTGCATTCCTGCTGCTGTCTGCCCACTTGCTAACACTAATCTCCATCAATTAAATGATCCAGGTTAAACTGACCTTCTTCCAGTCTCTCAAAGTTGTTTGTTTTTTTTTTTTTCGTCTTCTGATCATTTCAGATGGGAAGTTTATGCCATGGTCTGACAGGTATTTCAGGTGCTTCACAACGGGGAAGACAATGCAGGTACATCCTAATGAGATTTTCTTATCAAACCAAATCAGTTTGCCAAATCCATGTTTGTAATGTTTGTCAACTGTAACCTCACCTCAGTAATACAATGTGACTATCATGGTACACCTGTGACCACAGATGTGTGGAAAGTGCATCTTTTGTATTTCCCTGGAAAACATTTCACTTTGAAAAGATTCGGGCTGAGTTTCCTTAAAACTCTGCTGTATCCTCAGACTAACACACAACAGACCACAGATTTCCTTTTCAAAATACTATTTCTGGAAGCAACTTACTCATCACTATTCCACACCTCAGCAGAAACACATTCACCCAACAGCAGCACGTTGTCAGACCCATACTCACCTGACTGATGTACACTTCATGACAAGACGTGTTCAGTAACGTGCTTTTCCAAGTACCAGTACCAGGACTGGAACAAACACACATACACACTCTGAACAAAGTACTACCAACGGCAACAAAACGAGAAAAAAACCGTGAATGTCTTAACAGCCAGTGGCTAGACCCTCGCAGTTACACGGTCTGCCCTCCCCGCTCTTTTACTCTCGGCGCGAAAAGGATGCAGCCCGAGCTGCAGCATGACTCTGCCCCCTCACTGGCGTCCCCCAGGGCCTGTATCCCGACTCTTGACATCCGCTTTTTAGACGGGGCCAGTGGCCTGGCCTACCGGACTCTGCCGCCCGCTGACCGGAGACGGGCCACCCCCCGACCTCACCGCCGACGGAACACCCGCCCTCCAGCCCCCCGCGTCCCCAGCCGATGAGCTCAGCCCCGGACCCCCCATGCCCGCTGAGGGCGGCAGAGGCAAGCCCCATCTCTGACGGTCAAAGCCCGGCCTTTTCCTCTCCCCGTCGGCGGGGCTAACGGCCGCAGCGCGCGGCGTGAGGTGTGGACCGGTTCGCGCCAACCGCCGCCGGCACGCGCTCACCGTCTCTTCGTGGCCGGGCCCATCGGGCTGCCCGCCGCCGCCGCCGCCGCAGGGCCCAGGGCTCGCCCGCCCCTCAGGGGTCTTCCGCTCGCTCGCGCCCTTGCTGCCGCGGCGGGCCGCCCGCCGGCCCCACAGGTACAGCGCGCCAGCTCCCAGCAGAATCGGCGCTCCCAGCACCAACGCCAGCTGCCAGCGAGACAGCCCCGCGCCGCCGCCGCCGCCCGCCGCCTCCACGGGCTTCGAGGCGGCCATGACGCGCTCTCACCGCCGCCCGCGAGAAGGGACGGGACAAGAGTGGAGGGAAAGGGTCACCGAACACCCGGGTCACGGCGGAAGGGCACGGGTCGTGCAAGCACTTCCGCCTGCCGCACGGCCAGGCTCGGCCTGGCAGCAGCCACCTGCCGGCGTGGTGGCGCCACCTGCAGGAGCGGCGGTGTAGCTGCAGGGTGTTTGGGCCAAAATTGTCCTCATTATAAATGTCTCTCTTTTTAATTTATTAATTGAATCTGTCATTAAAATAACTTAATATGCAATACTGAAATTTTATATATGTTGTATATACATATGCATTATATATATGTGTGTGTACATGTATACACTTAGCATCCTTACTTGCAGGCAGAGGAAGCTAGTATTTCTGTCTCCTGGAGTACTCAGCTGTGGATGAAGATGAGTCGTCTGATACTTTTTATACTCAGATAACTAATCGGCTCAAGCCTAGAAATTTCTTTCTAGGTGGGAGAGAAGTGGAAGAAATATGTGCAAAGACACATATTGCACTGAAGAAAAAAAGGACTAGTAAAAACAGTAGTAAGGTTGCAAAGCAAATACCTCAGGACCCCAACTAAGATTTGCCCTGCTGGACTTTGAGTCAACATATCTTGGTGCCTGGTAAACAGTTTGAGCTGCTTCTTCCTTAATTTATGGGTTATTACTATTTACATAAGCATATTTTGTTAAGCTGTGGGACAGCCTTTCTCCCACTTTTCCCTGTCACCCGTCTCAGCACAGCAGAAGCATTTCCTACTCCACACAAGGCTGCAGTTCTGTCTCACATGTCAGAAAAGAAGAAACTTGGACCATACAATAGAAAATACATATCAACAGGCTGATAGCTTGCTACTAGGACAGCCTAAATTCCATCCATGTGATGAGCTAAGAACTAGTGTAGACCTTCAGATGTACCTTGCCTGTACAGATTGGTAGCCTCAAGGACATAAGACAAATTTACGCTGTCAGAACATGGCCAGGAGTGCTCTTCTCTACCTTGAGAATCAGCCTACACAACCTTTTTATTGCTTCAGGTGTCTTTTTTGCTGTGCTGTTTTGCATGTATTCCTTTTGCTCCTGTCCATCTGGGCCTCTGCACAAAAGCAGCCGCTGCAGGTTTGGCTGTGTCTCCAAGCTCTGATACACAGCATCTGAAGATACGCAGTCTGAACACCCATGTACTTCAGGTCCATCTGCTAATCATGGTCTTATCTGCCCTGGACAAGGTAAAAACTTGCATATCCATGACTAACTGGTCCTTTCACACCTGTTACTCGGAATGAAGAGTCCTACATGAGTATTGTATAAATACAATAAAACCTCACACCTACACCCACATGAATGAAACTGGAGTTTTGTTGCTACATCTGTACTACTAAACATGCTGGGGACAAGGAGCAAGGTTTAGTGCTGAACCATTGATTCTCTGTAATGCTAAATTGCCAGCAAGCTTTTTGGCATACTTCTGGCCAAGGCCAACTAGCATCTCTACAGCAATGCCTAGGCAACAGAAGAACACCTAGACACAAACCAAGGACTGCTTCCAGTAAGAACTTAGATTTGGGTCTCTCCCTCCTGTGCAGTCTTCCAACACTATCCGAACAAGCTATATAGCCTCAAAGCCCTCCTCTTTTTCCTTCTGCCATATGCCAAGGCATGTAACACATATTCCATTTTCATACTATACAATCAACAGTTTCATTGGCCACAACAGAGGTTTTTTTGCTATACCGGACATTTTGAAATTAAAAAAAGGACACATAAACTACAACAAAGTGTTACAACCACAGCACAGTACATGCAGCCTCAAGGAGACCCGCAGCATAAGTGCCGTGTAGAGTAGATGTGACCAGTCTAGCCACTTGGTCCCAGGAAACAGTCCCCAGCCCTATTCTGTTTTGTGGTATAGTCAGGGTCTATATGGCTTATATCCAGGGCTGGTGAGGAGAAATCAGATGAATTTTTACTGTGTGCCTCAAAATGAGGCAGGGTCTCCCATAACTCTAGTATGGCAGTGAAAAGCAGATGATACAAGTTCATGTTGGCGGCTATAACCCAAAAATGATCATGCAGTTTCTTTAGGGGGGCTTTCTTCTACCTAGACAGACCACATTTCCTGAATATCAAAGAAAGAGCAGAGACAACAGAAGTCAAGAGAGAGGGTGGCATGGAAAGAATGGGCCATTTGTCCTTCCTCCCACAGGGCTAGTTAGTTGTGTCCATTTCTGGACATTGTCAATATATCGGTTCTGCTTCTCAAAATCACAAGCCTACTTTCGGTTCATGTACACACCTCCCAGGCATGTAACTGCAGATAATTCTCCATTGGTATTGACAGCACTCAACAGCAACACACAGAGAGCAGCCAACACTTTTCCCTTCCCACCAGCCCCCTGTGGCAGTGTCATATTGGACATCACTGTAATGGAAATGTTAAAAGAAACCTCGTTGAAAACAGATGAAAAAAGATTGACTTAATGTTTAAACAGTGCCAAGGGCTGCAGTGGGTTGGGCTTTTGGGGGATGGTGTGCAGAAAGACTGGTTGAAACTCCATCTCCATTTCTTCTTGTTGACAGAACAGTGTGAGGCTATTGGCTTGGTAGCAGCATTTGAGCTTGCTTTTCCCAGTCTGGTTGGGAGACCCCCCCCAAGTTTGGAACACCCGTACATGGAATATGAAGAGGATGATGATATTTCCTTTGCAAAATGGATGAGCAGCTTCTGGGGCCACAATTTGATTGATGATAATGAGAAAGAGGGTAGAGGCCAGAAGAAACATCAGACTCAACTCTTTAGTGAAAGAAGAGCCTCCCTTCCGGTAAGAGCTGAGAGCAGTTTTCTCTGTATGTGTGTGGCTTATGTATAAACGTAAGCATCCCCTGGAGTCTGGCTCTAGAGATGCATGAGAATGAGTATGATACACCTTGCCAACTAAGTTCAGTTCCTGCTGGCGGCAGTTAGTTGCATTTTGAACTTAGCTGCCTGTCAGGGTCAGGCCTCCAGCACCTTTGGAATACAAGAAAACTGGCAAACTCCAAGATAAGGGATGATAGAACCAGAAATGTAAGAAGGGTGTAACAACTACCTAACTATGTACCACAGTCTTGTTCTGTGTGCTCAGCATGGCACCGCAGAGGTAAAAGCATTTTGGCAACTGGCATACATAAACGTTGTCTTTAACGAGTCTCATGTATAAAACTGTATAACCCCATATGTGTTCTTAAATCTTGGACCTAATTCTGCAACTACGCTGCCCCCAGGAAGTTGTATGCTTTACTCCCTGGGATTTAGCTGTTTGCAGGTGTAATTTAAACCAAAGAATGTGATCCCTCCTGTTTTTAAACATCTGACTCAGAAAATAAGGATACAACACATAAGAAAGCTTATTATACTATGAAGTACAATTCTAAGGTAGGAGCACATTCTTTAGTCTTAAACAAACAAAATATCTGGGAAAGGGGCAGAGTTCATATGCACAAGCAGGTTTTTAAGGCAACTCACAACTATCTAACTGGTTACCAAAATGAAGTTAAACTAAAACCAACTGTTCACAAGCTGCTCTTTATTGAAGACTGTTGCTTTTATTTCAGCTCTAAAAAAATGTTTAGATTGTCCAAACCTCTCTCTTTTTTTTTTCCAACTACATCTGTTGGCTTATCAAAGATACTATGTTTCATTTCAAACAATTTTTCACTTATATTCTTAAATTGTTATGGCTGCAACAAAGCAAATGCTATCATACTGGGGAAAAACAGCTAAACTTTTCCAAACTTCTTTTTCTCCCATTCTGTATTTTCATCTTGCAAGTTCTCCTCTACTGGATCTGCCATGTTCTAAGCTGTGGGAATTTTGATTTTCAAAAAATCTGTCTAAGAGAAACTAAACAGACCAAAGCCACCTTCCCACTTTTTGAATTCATAGACAGTCTGGAGAGGTAATCTTCACTCATTAGTTTTGGACTGATCATCCACATTTGTTATTTACAATTATATTTCACCTATGTCACAAACTGCGACACAGAATCTGAGCTATAGCTTTGCTGATAGGTTCCATCAAAATGCCTGAAAACAGGTTTATTAGTGTTTCTTTTTTAATTAATTTTACTGTATTTTAAATTTATCCTTCAGAGACTGACACATACGTGATTTCTTTAGTCCCCAGTACAGACTGAAGTGTAAGAATGTACTTTAAATCACTTTCCATTTGGCAAACTGCTGAACACATCTTTGTATATATTTGTGTGTGTATTTGCATGTGTACAAATATATTTCATTTGAAGCATGTTCTTTTCTTCAGTTTGTTCAAAAGCTATTTATATACTGATACGGAGCCCCTTGTTTCAATACTTGGTTAATAGCTATTCAAATACTTTGTTATAGCTGCATCCCTGAATCCATACCTAGAAATTGGATTAAGTTGGCTGACAGAAAAATTGTGAATTTTGACATTACTGTTCAATGAGCTAAAGTTATCCTGTACACTTAATTATGTCTTACCTTTACATTAATGCCCCACAAAAATTTGTCTTGTTCCAGTAGTATTATGCATGAGATATAAATTTCAACTGCTTAATTTCTCAGTGCCAGCAACTGACTGGAGGAATGAGAAGGGAAACATTCTTTAAGGATTTTATGATTTAAGGATAAAGTTTGTGACAAACTTTTTAAATTGGAAATCTCTGACTAGTTGGTAGTAAAGAGCACTAAAACATGTTGTCTTAAATCAAATCTAGAACTTAGACAATTAGGCACTAGTAATTCCTTAGAAATATCTTCAAGAAAGAGCATCTCCTTGTTGAGAGCAAAAACTTGCTATTGCACCTGGATGTGTATTTTTTCACACAGCTATTACAAATAAACTACTGTAAGATTCGAAACACAGTAGTGTTAATTAAATATTATCTGCATTTTATCAGAACAGCGTTATTAATCATGAGGAATAATAACTGAGGTTAAAATGCATCTCTTCTGTAAGTTAGTATATCAGCAGCAGATCACATTATACCCTTTCTGTCTCAACATCGTAAATGATAAGTGCTGTCTCGATGAAAATCAAGTCAGCAGATTCTGACTGACACAGCTGTTGGCAGAAGTTCCTTGTGCAGATACAATGGTACTGCCAAAGCAACACTGCCAGCACACTTTGACTCCTATCTAGGGCTGGTTTATGGTGCATCAGCAACAGTGCAGTGCTGCCCACATGAACTGCATCTGCACCAGGAGTGTTTTGGTATTACATAGCAAAATGCTAGCAGTATAGCATAAAAGGTGGTTTTGCATAATGCTGGAAATCACTTTCAGCTCCAGACTGGTATATTGGTCTTTATAGCTTTTCCTGTGCTGTAGAAAGACATTAGAGCCACTGCTCTCACGTCTAACACAATGTTAAACTCCTGTGGCATCTTATTATGATAGACCTGCCCATAATGTGGATAAAGCTTTGTAGAGTAACTCCCAAATTAACATACTTTTAATTATTTTTGCCCAATATCCCAGTATAACTCACAAAAATTACTAAGATGAGCTTTGGAAAATGCTTTTGCTGTTCTCATTCTCATTCTACAGAGGGAAACACAAAATTATATTTATCCTTCACTGGGTCACTGGCAAGACAGGCTGAAACATTCAACTCCACTCTCCTGAAAAGCGTCAGAGTTGTATATGTTGCTGTGGGCCAACACTGAATGAGAAAACTGCCTGGGGAAAACTAACTCATGTGTTTCCATCTCCTTTAGTTAGCTTGTTCCCCTGGCAAACTTTAGATACCGTGCATGCAGCATTAACTGTAATACCCTTTTTGAAGTCTCCAGCCATGACTTTGCTTGACACATTTTAGTTATCCTCCACCATTTTGGTTCAGGACAGTTTCTTAAATCCCAGACAATTTGTTGTGTGGAAAAGGTAGGAGGCAAAGGAGAGCTGATAAGAGCTTTACAGACGTATAAATGTATTCACCTTCAAGTAGACATTGCTGCTCACAGCAGAAAATCTAATAAGAAACAGCTGAAAGAGGGAACAGAACAACTGACTGTTGTTGAAGTTTGATTTAAACATATGTTTTAAACTGAAGTCAGACAGAACATTTACCACCATATTGTAACTACAGATAAGCTGGAGCCTAGGCCAAAACGTTTTTTAGGAACGTATGTTTGGCTATAAGCTTCTTGGAAGGAAAGGAAGCTGTGGGACAGCATCTGAATGTCAGATATTCCGAAATATCCCTAAAGTACTGGGGTCACTGTGTAAACTTCAGCTAACAATGAACACTGGTGCAGACACAGTGAAGATTAATTTTCTTTACTGACAGCTGTGCAAGTCCTCAAATCAAGACCAAAAGATGGAAGCAATTATCTTGCCTCCAAAAGAAACTGGGAAAGAGAATAGGAAATTATATTTCATCAATTTAATGAAGTATTTTGTTTATATACTTTTTGTGTGGTTTAGATGGGCACTAGATTAGCAAAAGATTAGCTGTTGTGTAAGTAGATATACCAAGCATGACTGGCCTTTACATAAAGGCTCAAACAGAAAAAGGGGGTATTAAAGGGAGTGAGAAACAACCCCTGAGAATACAACTGGTATTTCTGGCTTTCCCAGTTGACATTGTTTAACCCCATCTAGCAACTAGGCACCACACAGCCTGGGTGGGATGGGGGAAAGAGCTGGAAGGGTAAAAATGAGAAAACTTGTGGGTTGAGATAAAGACAGTTTAAAAGATAAAGCAAAAGCCGCATGCACATGCAAAACAAAACAGGAATCCATTCACCATTTCCCATGGCAGGCTGGTGTTCAGACATGGGAAGGAATAGCAGGAAGGTTCAGCTCCAGGAAAGCAGGGCTCCATCACAGGTAATGGTGACTTGGGAAGACAAGCACCATCACTCTCAAGGTCCCTCCCATTCTTCTTCTTCGCACAGCTTTACATGCTCAGCATGACACCATATGGTCTGGAATATCCCTGTGGTCATTTGGGGTCATCTGTCCTGGCTGTGTCCCCTCACAATTTCTTGTGCACCACCAGTTACTCGTTGGTGGGGTGAGAGGCAGAAAAGGCCTTCACTCTATGCAAGCACTGCTCAGCAGTAACTAAAACATCACTGTGTGATCAACACTGTTTCCAGCACAAATCCAAAACATATCCCCATACTAGTTAGTATGAAGAAAATTAACTCTATCGCTGCCAAAACTAGCACACCACCACTGGCAAAAATTACCGATTTTGATATAAAGGAGCATTCACCATTCTTCCTTCACATGCCTTTTCCCTTGTTTCACCTCCTCCCCACTTCTCCAGTTTATGAACTAGTCAAGGTCTGATCCTAGGTGCCAGAGACCAAGGAGATTTGCTGAAGAGGCACCAGGTATAGCCACAGGGCAGCTGCTAAGGCAAGGACATGAGCAGGTACTGGGGTTTGGAGACTTGGCAAGGGTGGACAGCAGCAGTGTGTGGACACCAGAATGTGCAGATACAGAGCTAATCTCTGTTGCCAGCAGCTGCTGAGACGGGAAGCACAGATTAAAGCAGTCTTTAGCAGCTCCTATTTACAATGTTACTAGGCAATCAATTTGGCACCAAACACACGTATTAAAAGCATGTATTAAATCTAAGGAACAGGAAGAAACCCAGCCGGATTTTATGTAAAGTCAGTGCCAGACCTGCTTCACCACTGAGTTTCATTTTATGACTCAGTTCTACACACTCTCAGTTTTCAGGAAGACTACTGTACTGTGCTAGTTATAAGCCATGCAATGCTCATGCTTGAGCAGCTGTATTAAGGCTCTAGTCCTCTGTAGGGCTGTGTCTGTAAGATAGCAACATGCTGACATGCACAAGCATGCTGTCCTCCTAGCTATGGTGGTATGTATCAGGCAAAGGCACTGTGAGAGGAAGTACAACCACAGTAATGTGACTCCATAGATCTGTATGTGTAGCTTTACACTTAGACCACTAAGGCAGACCAGAGGAAGACCTGTGTCTTTTCTGGACCACTGCTGCCACGTCAGTATGTGAACTGCAGTCATTTTGTTAAGAACTACAAGTCTATCTGTGAAGGGAAATTAAAAAGCAATGTCTTAGTAAAATAAAACATTTACAAATATTGCAAAAACAGAATTGACAGAATACCATCCCCCATTTCAGTTGCCCTCCTGGGTTTGTTTTTTTTTCTTTCCTCAAACAGTCTAGGAACAAATAGCAGTGATTTTTAGGGAGAAACAATTTTTATTTCCAGGAAACAGTATTTGTTGATGGCACTAAAATGACACAGAAGACATTTAGCTTGTTGAACTTGACATGGCATGTGTCCTACTGCCCCTCAAGCACAATGTGATTGCTTTGATGCTTTTTAAAATAACAATACAATATGACCTTACTGAAATTACAGCTGTATTGATTGGCTTGAAACCAAAGTAAAAATAGTATGGCAGAAATCATTACCAGTACTCTTGGAGGCAGTCCATAATACTAGTTACTGAAGTAAGCTTATGTCTGGAAAAGAAATTGAACCTGTACTGTATGATCTGAAAACCCTTTGGTATTTGGTACTTCTGTCAGCTGTGAGATTTACTATTTTTAGCACCTCTCATCAAGCCTGTCTAATGTGATGTAGTCACAAGCATATGGATGCACAGCCTTACTATCCAAAGAAAGGCTGCATAGGTCCCTGTTATGCTGGTAAATTTATAATAGCAACTGGACCAGAGTAAATAGAAATGTACACAGGAGATGTTTCAGGTCCCTTGTAGTCCAAGGTTTGTAGACTCATGTGGCCACTATATCAAGTCAGTTTAGTTTTACACTGTTGTTTGTTAAAAAATAAACAAAACAAAAAACCACCCAACCCCAAACAAGCTCCCCCCAATAATCTACTGTGAGTGTAGGGTTTTCTCCTGGGTTTTCTTAGGAAGCATTTTGGGATCTATGGGACAGACCTTTAGTTGTTATAAACAATCACACGTCCTTTGAAGCCAGCAGAGCTTCTCATGGTTACTCAGTAGCTGGCAGCTTAGCACCAGGCTTACACAAAACATATATGCCTTCAAACATGTATGCAGCAGCTGGTTGCCTGGAGTGCCCTAACCTGACACCTGTGGGAGCCTCATTTTTGATACCTCCCACCTCTCTCCCACAGTTTTCACTACCTGTATCTTATCAGTGGTCAACTACTCACCAAAAAAAAGCATCAACAGCTGGCAGGGTTTGGGGCATGCCTGGCTCTATGTGGTGGCCTTCTCACTCACTTCTTCTACAGGTCTATTTCTAAACTTCCCAATACATGCCTCCACAGGACATGGCAGCTCCGTATCAGTTTAATTTCCTTTACAGACATTCAATTAAGCACAGCTGATGCAGATCAATAGTTTTTATCTGCATGTCAGGCCAAAGAAAATTGAACCAGATGGAAACTAAAGAACTGCCTACGCCTTCCCAACTTTAGCCCTACAAGTGTAATTACAGGAAGTCTCTTTTCTACTATTTCTGTGGTGGCGATGCATCCCTCAGTGCCCTGAAGGTGCTCCCTCACCAGTTCAGGACAAATGTGCCCAAGAAACCATCAGAATATTCAGACCTGGACAATCTTGTCTGCCTATAGGCCATGCTGAAAATTTGATTTGACACAACTGGGCTAGAAATGGTCACTTTCACACTCAAACGAATTCAAGCATTTGATAAGACCTGGAGCACCTGTGAGTCAGACCCTGAATCAGGCTAATTTGGCAACAAAAGACTGGATCTTTGGTTTCTGAGAGTCCTGCCTAGAACCTGCTGCCAGATGCAAGACCTGAGTTTCTGAGATCATGAAGGGTCCCAGGTTCTTTCAGTGTCAGTGGGCACTAGACAGAACTCAGCACATTTTACATTTGAAGCATTTATTTGGGTGCCAAAACTTAGATACTCAAAAACAGGAATAAAAGCAAACTCTGCTGCTGCCTCTGGAAAACAAGATCTTGGCAGTGGGGTTCTTTTTGAAAGGAAAGATACAGAAGTCTAGGCAAGGTCCTTCATTCTGCATCATTGTTTGAAGAGTGCTAGGTGGCAAAAAGAATCTGCCTTGTGTCCTCTCTTTTAATATTCAATAATCAACACAGACCTCTTGTTTTTCAGGCCAGGCTTTCCTCCCTCCACACAACACGACTTCATGCTTCTACCAAAGGCTCGTCTTCAGGCCATCTCAAGGGTTCTCAAGAGGACCAGGACGTCAAATGCCACTGCCACAGGAAGGCAAGCAGAACACCTTCAGGAGACAGCTCATGCCCAGAGACAAGACCAAACTCCATCCAGGAATTTGTGGAGTCCTTTGAAAAACAATTGCATCTCAAAAGCAAACGCTCAGTTTCTTTGGTAGGTAACAACCAACTTAAGATCGCTTCAGAACTAAAAAAACCAACCAAGTAACAAGTGGGCCAGCTTTATCCCTGGTGTAATTCCTATGGCTTTCTTGGAAGAAGAGCAGTGATAAGCTTGAATTAGAATTTCTCAAATTACAGTACAGGAAAGACTTTTAAAGTGGTAGTATCATTTGCATGAGAATTCCTGATGTAGTGTTATCATCTGAACTTACTAAAAAAATTTTATCTTCAAAAAGAGACCCCACATTGGCTGTGGCAATATTTTCAGGGGTTTCTACAGCTGTGCCCCTAAAATGTGACAATGTAAACCCAGGTTTTCTTCACTTTTGCCAAAGACCCAGCTCCCTTTCTCACTGCTGCCTACCTGGTTTAACCAAATACAGTGTTATCTGTAAGTGATGTTTGAAAGGCTTCTCTTTTATCCTTTGGGACTCCATCTATTTGCTTTCATTGGTTTCACCACACAGCTGCAGGAGCAGCCATTGCTATAAGTAGCTGAACATATATATATATGAGCACACATATGAACATGTAAGAGCATGCAGCCATCCAGGGATTCTCCCCACATTTCATCCTTCTCTCCATCATTCTGTCCTGAGAAAAGCATGTTCTGTGTGATTTGTGTTGATGAAGTAGCCAATAAGAGCCTTTTTTCTATGACACCTTAACACATTTTTGGTACTATGATATATAATATCTAGTGTATCATAAAATGGAATGAAGAGTATTAACCCTAGGTCACTTTCATGTTTCAGAAGAACACTATCAAATTCAGTCACCCTATTGAAAAAGCTATACTTGAATAACTCTTGACATAAGCATCAAGTAACAATAAAAGGAAATATTATTTTTTTTCCAGTTTGTTGATGCTGACAGCTTGCATAAGAGAGTAATTTTCAGCTCTCTTCACAGATCTTCTGTTTAGCAATAAGAGAGAATAAAAACCTCTCTTCAATAAGCAGCATCATTTCATGATCAATCCCACAATTACAGTCTTTGCATGACCAGTCCTCTAAGAATATGCAGAATTATGGTGATGACAACTTTGTTATGTCATTGTTAAGATTTGAAGTTCATTTGCTAATCTTATTTTCCCCTTTAGGAACTACTCAGAATTTATTTCATTTGGAACTTCACATTGCTTCATATGCCAACCCTCACCAGTGGGTTGCTTGGCTTATAATTTATCATTTATTAAAAGTGCCTGTGGCTAGAAAGTCTGTGAGTGTGTAATAATTGTACAATAGATACAGTGAGTGTAAATACATCTTCAGTTCAAGTTCAAAATATGGATTCTGGTACCCTTCTGTAATCTGCAGTGAGGTGTGCTGAGCTGTATTTTAATTTACCTTTCAAGTAGACCAAATTGTTGTCATTCCCCAGGTCATCATTGACATCTGGAAGATGTGAAGGACTTAAGAATCTTGAAGAACTGAGCAATAGATGTTAAGAGATCTGGAAGGAAATTTGGGAGTGGTTTTAAGCTTTTATCTCCAAAGGGAGCATTTTTTTGCTTTCAGGGATCTGTAGGTGCAATTCATTCACCATGACCGCACAGGCAAGGGAAAAGTTGGGGAAAGGTAATGCCATTTTATCTCCTTCCCTCCAGATTGCTTTTTTGTTACAAACCTGGCTTGGAGGACACTTCATGACCTTCAGCACTTGTTTTCAATGAGATCTTTGCAGCTAGCACTCAACAGCCTTCAGGCACATAAAGATGGATCATGTGAAAGAACAGAAACAATGGTTCTGGGCTGAAATCTCAAAGCTCTTCCCTTTTTCCTTCCTGTCTGCTCTCCTCTTCAAGTCCTCTGCTCAGGTGATCCTCCTACCAAATGCAGAGCATAATCAAAAGCATGTTGCCTCTTGCTGAGTTTAGGGGTGACTTGCTGGGACCTTGAATTTGAACCCATCATGTTAAAGATGATCTTGCTGAGGTGGGTGACAGGAATATTTTATTATACATTAGTGGTGAAATAAAATCATGATTTTTATATTGTTCATGTTGAAATTGCTTGTAATTCCCTGCTATTTTTCCCCTGTCTTTTAGCAACCTGAAGGTGTGAAAGAGAGAAGAGAAAGAGAAAGATTGCATTTGAAAAAAATCAAGTCTCATAAGAGAATGGGAGAGAAATCAGAGCAAAGGAGAGAGCAGGAAGAAGATAAAGGTTCAGAAGCCGGACCTGCAAAACACAACAAAAAATTTCCACCACAAGCAACCACTGAGAAAGGATACTTATGCATGGGGAGCTAGAATGTGTTAACATAATGAATTTTAACAATCTCCCTGAAGAGCAGAGGGAGCATTCTTGTTTTACTTTGACTAGAAGCAGCCTGTTAGGTAGAATAAACCCTAACCTGTAAAATAAAAGTAAAATTCAACTGCATCATTGACACCATGTTAATACCTTCCTGTCTTTTGCCATTAGAAATGTGAACCTTGTCATAGGAGGAGTGTAGCAAGATCCAAGTTAGCAATTAACCACTGTAAGAGGGTTTCAGGCAAATTTAATATTGTGTCAGGACAGTGGTGTATATTTAGTCCTCATTTAAGAGGAGACTGTGTATGTACTACAAGCCATGTGAAGTCATCCAAAGCCTTGTTTCTGTTTTAACTGAAAACACTCTTATTGCTAGGTTTGGAAAGGAAAAATTATGCATAAATGGCTACCTGCTTCCTGCCCCTAACATTAACTTAGGTTTGTCTTGGAAACAGGTATCTTTTTCCTTTGACAATCTCTTGACTCCAATTTTATGGTAATAAAAGAGAAGCCTACATGTTCTCTTCTATATCTCACTTCTCTCTGCTTACCCTATCACTGTGCAATATGACTCTTATTTCTCTTGTATCCCCTAAGCCCTCTCCCATGTCCTCAGTCCCATTTCCCTAGTTACACAACTAGTTCTTTCTCTCAGCTTTTAATCTCATCATCCTGCTTTTGTGGCCTTTCCCCTCCTCATTTACTACTTCATACTCCTGCCTTGTATCTACCAACCTCTTTTGCTACATATTTGTTTTGCTTCATCAGAATTTGATCTTTGCTGAAAGTTCTCCAGTAAAAACAGAGATGTTCTGCCTATCATACTGTTGTATAATCTCTTCAAGGGGTTTTCACACATTCATAGTAAGTATTGCAACCCTTTTCCCTTTTTCTCTTTTCTAGAGCTAGGGCCAAACCAAGGGAATAAGAACTTGCTCTGGTAAGCAGGACTTAGGATAATTGTTTCCTCTGGCTGAAGATCCTCTGAACTCTGGTGTAAATCTCACCAACTATAAGTTAGATTTCCTCATTCAGGGGACATCCACCTCCACATGCTCATAAATGCATACACATCCCCACAACCTCCCCATGCCCCTTTTCAACATGTAAGTCTTCCCTGCAGAGAAGAATCCTGCCCTCTTTGGGAATAATTTCCCCAGGCCTAGGTCAGAGAAAGCCTGCTTCGGATAATACAGTTAGAGTTAAGACTAATGAGGTCATGAGCAAAAGTAGAAGTTTGCTGGGTGTTCTTCCTGTGATTTTCTATAATTAATGAAGATCTTACTATTTTACTTTAGAGTCTTAATTTTGAATGTTCAACCTTTTAAAAGCTTAGGGCATCCTTAAAACTTTGTAATGCTTATCTCTATTAAAGGTTTGTTTTTCTTTTTAAGTAGGTCTTTGGGGAATATATAAGAAAGCAAATTGAATTGCTGATGCTTGAAAATTGCTCCTAATTGGTGACTTATATTATAAACTAATAAATGATGCTATAAACTGAAAAATGGTGTTCCTATGCATAGTTCCTGTCCTCCCCAATCCAGATTGAATTTTCATGAAGCTCTTCTGTCAGCCAAAACTTCTATGTGGATGGTTTTCCTTTTGTAGCCCTAATTTGAAAACTGCATTGCAATAGACCTGGGTAGAAAAGAACATGGCCAGCTGTACTTGACTTCCTCAGATGAGCATCTCACATACACCCCTTTATGTAGCAACCTGCCCTTACATCTCATGAGAGCTAAATGCCATGTCTGCCCCAGCTTTTTATGGATTTCAGAGCATCAGCTTCTCCCTCCTTCTGTTTTCCAGCCAGATTAACTCAACAAGCCCAGCTGTATCCCAGCAGAATTTCAAAAAGATTGTATTCATGAGACTAGCATGCTGGTTGTGCACCACACCTGATGAAAAAAAAAACACCAAAAAGAGCTAAAATAGAAACCCCACGTGTGCCTGGCTCTGACTTGCTTTTTACCACCTGCATGGAAGCACAGGCAACCTTATTGCCATAAAGGCAGCCTAGTAGGCCTGCCTCCAAACAGCTCCTGTGTTTATCACTGAACCCCATATCTCAAATGGGAGAGTCTGTAAGAGTTTATAACCCTGTCAGACTCTGGGAAAAAAAAAAAGAAGCTTTCAAATATTGTCCTCAACTGTCCTTAAATTGCTAAAAAATGTTTACTCAAAAGCATTTAAAAGTGTTTTCTCTTGCTTCACACCATGTCTCATTGGACCAGCAGTCCTTTTCAGTTTAGCCCCCATGTAGTCTGACACAATAGCATTACTTAAACTGAAATTTGCATGGTGGAATGAAATCTTTCTCTGCAGAAGTTGACAATTATTCCATAATGAATCAGGCATTTGGGAAGAAAGTTAATCATCCAAAGAGGAATGTGATTGAATGGCATGGCTGATATTTCTATTTATTTCTACCAAAAAGTGGAACTGGAATTTGCAAGTAGTCAGAAAGACTCCAGAGGGTTTTCATTTTCACAGTAAGTCACAAGTTTGGTTGTGACCTTTTGTTTTCATGTCAAGACTGACATGAAAAATAGCCATTGCTCTGATTCCCACCCCCAGTTCTCAGAGCAGCTGGGCTGGCTGTGGCTGTTTTCTGCACACATGCCCATTCCTCTGCATATGTTTGCTCTTTCTGCTCTTTCCAAGAATGGGATGGCTGAAAGTTGGATCAGGGTCCAAACCTTGGAGACAAAGGAGGTCACTTAGTGGGAAGCAAAGACAAAGGGACCAAAAAATACCTTTTCCAAAATGCTCATTAAGAGGTAATTTTAAAAACCTGGAACAGTTTTACAAGAGTGGGGAGCCAGCAGGTAGAAGTAAGCTGACACCCCCACTGCAGGCCGGCTGTTGAAAGCTGATGTGACTCAGAAGCCTGTGAAGGACATTTTAAACTTGCTGTGTCTCATGGGTGATGTGCTTTGGTAAAATGCTCCCCTCTGTGAATCCTTTCCAGGGCATTAGGCTAACTAGGAAGTGCTCCTGTGGGAAGCATTTCAAGCGCATGATCCAGTTATACATCAGTGTTTCCTGAGAGGGCTAAGAAGAGAATGTCAAGTGTGGTCACCTCATCTTTTAGGTGGAATTTCCAAAGCAAGATATTTATGCTTGCATACTTCTGAGGTATTATTTAATTACAGCATGGTTTTGAAGGCAGATTAAGTTTTGGATACTTTTTAACATATCACATACTAATATATAAAATGACCAACCCTGCAAAGGCAAAATGAAGCAATACCTATATTTATGTGCATACCCACAACAATTCTTTCTAGGAAAAAAAGAGAAATATTTCAATGCATAAATAAACCAAAACAACCATGATGTATAGCTGAACAAGGGTACAATACCCATTAAAAAAAACCCTAATATTACATATGAAAAAATGAAAATGTTAATGTGTACTTTTTTGTTCTTTAGCACAAAAGAAGGTATTTGGACAAGCACAGCTCTGGAGCTCTGGCTTTGAATGAGTAGGATAAAAATCACACAGACGTATAATCAAACCAGATAGCCAAAGTTATTCACAATGAAATTAAACGTAATCACAGGACCTTGAGTTTATACAGGCATCTACCAAAACTGTTGAAAACAAGTCTTGAAATACATCCAGAAAGATATCACAGCCAAAATCTAGCCATTCACTGACAGAAATGAATAGTGAAATCCAACAAACTCCATAGATAATGCCCTGCCTGTGCTTGTTCTGCCAGAGCTTTGCACAACTGTGTATGAACAATTGTTAAAATACACCCACTCATCATAGAAAACATTTCTTGTAGGGTGTCGGATTTTCATTTACTCTGTTGGTTTAGATTGGATTGACATATGATATTCCTCCTATTAGGAGGATCCCTCTGAATTCTAGCCCAGTCTTTCCTGTACTTTGGAAAAGAATAACTTCTCTCATCTGTGTCTTTTCTCTGAAGCCAGATAGAAAAGTAAGGGAAAGAAGTGATACAAGGAGTATCAAAGACTAATATTCTGTCATATTTGATTCATTCTTGTCCTTCTTATGTTTGTCAAAATGCTTCAGTTAATGTAATTTCTAAACTAATTGATTGTTTTGCTGTACTGAGAAGGCTCACCAAAATCTGTGACAGTTATATATGATTTTTCATTAAAAAGCCAATAGAGTCCTTACAGAGAGTCCTCAGCCTAGTGAATTAGTCCTATTTTGATACTGAAGTATCAAAAAGGAGCCTTTTTCTGCTACAAAGCTTGAGCAGAAGGATTCAGAGACACCGTTCCCCTGGGCTTCCCTGCAACCATATCCTGTCATATCAGGCGGACAGTAAGATTTTTTTTCACCCTTTGGGAAGCAACCCTTCCTGGATCTTTATGCAATGGATCTCAGTTGATGTTCTAGTCTTCCTGTATGCACAAAACAAATTTTGAATGTTTTTCATAAGCATTTTAAATCCAGTGTGTCTATTCCCTGAGGAATTTTGGCTGTCATAAAGCAACTAGAGTGTTTTTAGGTTAGCCTTCCCACAGCTAGCACAAAGTTACGCCTGAGAAAGAGGAATGGTTAGGGCATTCCTTTGTGCTGATGGTCCCAGAAGCAATAAAAGGTCCAGGGTGAACAAAGTAACTTTGTGCTGCTCTCACCTTTGCAGAATTTTGTCAATCACAGGTTAGACCAGAATTTATAATAAAAAAAAATAAAAAATTCACAAACTCCTTTGCCGTTGTACCAAGTTCACTCAGAGCTGGAGGCTACTCCAGACAACAGATTTTCCATACCTTTAACAACCTTTGCATGGAACAAATGTAGACCCACAGCAGCATAATCCAGGTCACTATTATATGATCAACATACATCAACCATAATGTTCATCACACATTCATGGTATCAAGATGATCATCATGGAATCAGTACGATCTGATTACCTACTGAAGAGCAATTCTGAGTTGATATTGTTTAAGACTGATAAAAATTTCCTTTCACTTGAAGGAGCAAGATTTGTATTTGTGTTATTTGTCATGATGACTTGGAGACTGGCAGAAGCACAGAACCTTACTGCATGCACAGCCTTCACAGAGATATATCATGAGAAATTCCTAGGGCCTTATTTTCTGTTACTTTTAATGCAGAGGGTAGAGGAAGGGGATCATATACCAAATTATTCAGACCTCGACTAAACCTTGAATGCTGGTGACTGAAAGAGATATGTCTGTATATTGAAACTGCTGCAGCAATCTTATGCTACCAGATGCTACAAAGAAGCTGGGAGAACCCTCAGCATCAGTATTGCTTTTAGCAAAGTTTTATACTGATGACCAAAGGTAGAAGATGATGGGCCGCATTGGAGCTGTTGCATCATTCTTTAAATAAATGTATTAGTGGAAAAGCGGAACACCAGTGTTCTGAGGGATCTGCAAACAGCTGGGTGTTTTGATATGTGCAGTTCAGAGTTGGCACTGCAGTGAAGGGGTAAACAGTTCTCCTAATTCACAGTGTGCACTCGCAGCCCAGAAAGCCAACTGTATCCTGGGCTGCATCAAAAGGAGCATGACCAGCAGGTCGAAGGAGGTGATCCTGCCCCTCTACTCTGCTCTTGTGAGACCTCACCTGGAGTATTGTGTGCAGTTCTGGTGTCCTCAACATAAAAAGGACATGGAACTGTTGGAACAAGTCCAGAGGAGGGCCATGAGGATGATGAGGGGACTGGAGCACCTCCCATATGAAGACAGACTGAGAAAGTTGTGTCTGTTCAGCCTGGAGAAGAGAAGGCTGCGTGGAGACCTCATAGCAGCCTTTGAGTATCTGAAGGGGGCCTGTAGGGATGCTGGGGAGGGACTCTTCATTCGGGACTGTAGTGACAGGGCAAGGGGTAATGGGTTAAAACTTAAATGGGGAAGTTAAGATTGGTTATAAGGAGGAAGTTCTTTACTGCAAAGGTGTTGAGGCACTGGAATGGGTTGCCCAGGGAAGCTGTGAATGCTTCATCCCTGGCAGTGTTCAAGGCCAGGCTGGGCAGAGCCTTGGGTGAGATGGTTTAGTGTGAGGTGTCCCTGCCTATGGCAGGGGGGGTGGAACTAGATGATCTTAAGGTCCTTTCCAACCCCAACTATTCTATGATTCTATGATTCTATAATCAATATTTAATAGTTTAGTCTGTTCAGCTCACTCCTCTCCATAAATTATGTGATCTAGTTAGTGCCTATATTGATAACCTCAGGAAAGAGACTGAGGACTAAGTACTCCTCTCTTTGAAGCCTGTTTCTGTAGGTGGCATCTGAGACATATTGGTGGAGTGGAGCTGAGTGAGAAAAGTAGGTATAACTGCTATGCTGTCTGTACTTTCAAGCACAGAACCTTATCTCAAGACTTTCTGGGTTGGTATCAAATAAGTATAGAAAGCACTGCATACCACTGGATACCACATTCTTCTGGAAGAAAATAATCTTGTGTCTGGTCTGGATCCTGCTGAAGTTGTTCTGATGATAGCAGGACTTAATCTAATAAGTGTATCCTCATTTCCTTAATGTTGTTGATTCAATAAATGTTTTGGACTAGGGATCTTAATTTTTAAGGGAATATATCAGCTAGAGCTCTCAAAATTCCTGGGAAATAACAGGAATTCCTGTATTAAAATCCCGTTTTCTAGTACTCTTTTCCATTTATATTTAGCAGTGTATTCAAAATTGGCTGCTA